GGAATGCCCTCAGTACTAACGCTCCGAGTTGTAAACCAAACCCAAACAATTCGTCCCAGTCATGAAGGAAAAAAACCACACCCCCCCGGTAGAAATGTTGCCTCTTTAGCGTGGGACACTGCCGGGGGGTGTAGGCACTCTCTCTTACGAGTAACTGTTAAACACGGGCAATCACATTTTCATTTTTAAATGGCTCCTATACATGCAAAACAGCTTTTCTTATGGCCAATACATGAGAATATATGGCCTAACACAGCTCATCTCCTCCTGCATTTTAGGACAGTAGCCTGCTGCTGTAAATACCTGCCATGCAATACTGTCCTATTTTTGAAAGAGAATATTAACAGTCAAACTGAGCGTTTCTGACTGTTAAGATCTTGCTGTTTGGCTGCAGTTAACAGTTAATCTGACCCCTGAAACATGGCAACATTACCTGAGCTCTGACTCTCAGGAGAGAGGCTGGAATACAGCGTAGAATTTTCTTTGTATTAAAGTGAAAACTGATGCATCAATACCAAATTGCTACATTTCACCTAGCTTGCATTTTGAGCACACCATAACAACATCAAAAGACCAGTGGGTATTTTAAGCAGTTTGTTGCAAGTTCTGTAACTTCCAACAGGCAAAACATTGTCCACGCTGAGCAGCAGGAGGGAAGAAGCCAGCGTTACAGCAGTCGCAGATTTAGAAGCCGAAGGAGAAAAGTACAGCTTTCTACAAAGGCTGATTTTTAAGGGAATTAAGTTACTCGCGTTCTCCAAGCTGCTACTCGCACCCTAGAGCTGCCGACCCCTCCCCGCCCAGCCCCAGACCAGGGGTTCCTAGCCAGCACCAGGCGGAGATGAGGCTCATCTGCCTCATCTGCTCTGCTGCTTTCCCTCCCGCACATGGACGTGAGAAGCTGCTGGTGGACGTTGGCCACACATGGCAGAGGGAGAGCACATGAACGGACACAATACCACATGCGTATCGTGGGGCTTGTAGAAGTTTCACGGAAATTGGAGGCTGGGTAGAAAAGAGAAATTCGGATTGCTTCCTGCAAGTGCTTACGAGGCGTGCAGGACCCTGGTGCTGTGTTACAGCGATGTTTTTGGCAATGGCCCACCCAGGGCAGCCAACCAACCCAGCCAAGCAGACTCGTGCTGTGCACAAGGAGGGCAAGCACCCTGCTTTGGGTTGGGCCGTGTCTTGTCACGCATTTGCTCTGGGAACAGGGGCCAGGAACTGCAGAGCTGCATCGCTCGATTTGCAGGACTCTTCTGGGATCTGCAAAGGCAAGAGCTGGGCAACCTTCACAGCACACCTTCAGATACTTCCACTCATTAAGCAGCAAAAAAAGCCAGAATTCAGCTTTGGACACGTGCTGCCTGTGCTCCTGTGGGCATGCATGCTTCATCATCAGGAGCAAACTACTCTGGGACAAGCAGGAGACAGATTGTGCTGAGCTTCTGGTTATTAAAAAAAAAAAAGGAATAAATGGAATGGGCTGAATCCTGGCTAAGGCCAATTTCTAGGACCTTATTAAATGTCCGTAAATCCCTTTAAAAAACAACCAACCCAAAACAAATCTTCAAAAGGGTGGGGGGTGGGGCTGCAGCCGGTTTGCCAAATAGATCAAAAGGGAGTTTTCTTCCCCAAGAGCTGTCTTGGTGCAGTTGTTTGGATTTGCAAGCTTCCCTGACAGCTAAGCAGAGCAAGGATTTAGCCACGTACAAGCAAGTTAAGGAAGCAGGTGTTCCAGCTTCCCACAGTCTTCCTTCGCTTTCCCAGCTGCAGCTCACCACCACTGCACTTTGGCCCTCACCCCAGCTGGCATCTGAGACAGCTGACCGCACTTCATATTTGGGTTTAATAGCTGTGCTGACAAATGACAGCTCTCGCGTTCAGCAATTAAAGAGGATGTATGCTGTCACTCCCTAATGTCATTGTGCTTTACGTCCTCCCATTGGCAAAACAACGCAAGGAGACTATGCAAGGCTCAGTTCCCGAGCAAGGAAAAAAAAAATGGAGCAGCGTGAACTGGAGGGAGGGAGAAGGACACTGGAGAGAAAGTGGAGGATTATTCTGCACACCAAGGAACAACGCTGACCCGACGAGGGCTGGAGCAGAGACGATAGGGGCAGTGAAGCAAGGGGAACTGGAAGAAGCAACACCCCTTAAAGAGGTAATGCAGCACCTTGAAACCAGGAGGAGACAGTAAGCCAGTGTGAAGGGATTTGTCTTGATCAGAAGACACCATTGGGGTAATGGAAAAGGAACAGAACAGCGGCATTAGGCGTGGGCTGAAAGTAGAAAGCAGGGCAGAGAGAGGAGGGGTACAGGAATGGGGCAAAGTACTTAAGGCTCATTAACAGTTGGGAAGTTGGGAACTGCTGAAGACAGAAGAGGCCTTCTTGTGGGGACTTACCGTTTTTGGTGGGGCAATGTGGGGAGGGTAGAGGGAAGGCATTATTTTCACAAGTCATCTCAGTTTACTTTCCAGTTCCTCTGTAATCTACATTTTTAAAGATTGCACGCATTACTCCTACCTTTCCTTCTGGACTGAACGTGGCCAACTTGGGGATTGCTGAATATTATGGGATTTTCAGTGGCTAAATAACACACCCTTAGTAACTGCAGAAGTAGCGTAACTGCAGAATTAGCTACAGCTTGCATGGAGACACGAGGTTGAGGGGGAGCAGAAGAGCAAGCTAGCAGTACAACCAGGCAAGGGCTTAACTTCCACCTCCTGCTGCTGCAGTTGTACAGGGAGCAGGGCACAACGCTGAAAAGCTACCAAAGGGGCACGAAGGGCGAAAATAAACACACTCTTAAAAAAAATTACTAATGGTCTCACAAAGAGGGTCACCGTCTTCTACCTTTATGTGGATTCCAAAGGCTGCAAGGTCTCCACGCAGGCTGTCACAAGCCTCCAGGAGGGGTTTTCTCTCCTGCATTAACTGCTGCCTCTTTTCCTTTTGTTCTTGTTTCGGTCCTTTGGCTCCCGTGGCACCCTCCATCGGCGTAGCTTCTGATGCTTCTTCTGGCAGAGCAAGCGCATAATGACGGACCTTTGCACGGAACCTTACAAGCTCGTCAATGACGTTAGAGAGCACAACCGAGTCACCTCCTCCCAGAGCCACCTAGAAATCAAACAGCTTGCTTTAAAAACACCTGAAAACGATTTAAAAATCAACCCCAACTCAATAGCATACATTGAGGCCTCATCATGTCTCTCTGTTGTGCATCTTCCATGGATTGGTAGGATTAAAACATCACAATCTCACTAATGATGGACAGGAGTTACAGTACATGGAAGTAGCTTGGTGTATTCCTATACAGGACAGTGTCTGTCTTGGAGCAGAGGGCTCTCACATGAATATAACATACTGCATAACTCAACTGTGGAACTCATCACCACAGGAAACCCCCTAGATGCCAGAAGCGTGCATAAATTAAAAAGGGATCAGACAAATTCATGGAAGAAAGGCCTGGCAACAGCCATCTGACACAGCAAGGGAAGCCCAGCCGCCAGCTTAGACAGTCCCTTGGCTGGAAACATCTGCAGAGCTGGAGAGCACACCAGCCCCTTACTTTACCTTTGATCTCCAGACCCTCTTCAAGAATCACAGACCAGAAAAATTAGGTATTTGGGCTTTAAGTCTCTAGACCACCCTTTCTGCTTGCACCTCCCTGAATCCACAGAACTTTTATCTGATCTGCCTTAGCCAGTTTCAGGCACCCAACAAGACCCGACCAAGCAGCAGCCACTGCACAGCCAACACCACGGGAAGGGAATGGCCTCCCTCCTCCTAGAGGGTCCCGCTCCGACAGCTGCCGGGACAGGAGCTCAGGTGCTAGCAGAAGAGGAAGGCCACGCCTCGGCACTGGCACAGCCAGGCTCCCAGTCTCGCTCTCGGCAGAGAAACCATCCCCGTTTCTCATTAGAGGCAAACTCCTAAGGGGGAGGAAAAGGACAAACCTCCAACAAGCAAGAAAAAGCCGTTGCGGTATTTTATCGCAAAGACACAAGAGGGGGAGCAGACAACAGAGCAGTGAGATACAAAGCACACCAAGGCCGGGGGGCGAAGTCGCTGGCAGCGATGCTCGGCTGGGAGCAGAAGAGCAGCTGAGTAATTAAAGCCAGAGGGGACTGTATTTAGTCACCAAACAGCAGGATGGAAATGAAAGGGAGTAGTTTCAGAGGTCACTGACTGAAGCAAACAAAGAGGAGGAGAAGGAGGCGAGGGGGAAGCTATCGAAGGGCTTGAGTGTGAGATGCTCAATGCTCTCCTAAATCATAAGAGGCAGCAAATTCCCCAAACTTTCAAAACATGTAAACATACTAAAGAAGTTTACAAGACTGAAGAAGGTAATAAATCCAAGTGCCAGAAATGCTCCATCGTAACCTGGGGCAGGGAAAAGAGCAGGATAAATGCTTAAATACAGAAGAGAGAGGAAAGATGAATGGTAAGGGCAGCAAGAAACACGTCTACAGATGCCACTGCCAAAGCTCAAACCAGGCACGTACTCCAGACACAAAGGCAAGATCCTCTGAAACAAGGGGCGGCTTTAGGAGATGAACTGGTCCTATTGCCACATAAAACACTGTGTAGCCTCTCAGGGCTGATCTCTAATTTCTTCTTCTGCAGTACCGACCCAACCAAAAGGCTTGTAAGGAGTTTTATGTGGAAATTTGGCCCTTGCCTACCCCACAGATGATCTCCTGTTTGCCCCTGGCTGCACCCACAATACAGCGCTCCTCAGCAGAGCCCTCACCTTTGCTCCTCAGCTCTGAACAGGCACGATGGTTTCGACCCACCGGCTAGACTTCCCAGCAGTAAGTGGTAAGGCTGCCTAAGAGGGAAACCTTTC